ACGTAGTTAGATTTTGCTTAGCCCTTGGACAAAATTCTATTTCTAACAGATTGTGAAACTAAGTCTTCAAACTTCTAAGCTTTTTGTAAAAATAAAAGTTATTTTAGCCAACTTTCTAAAACTGTGCCCGTCCCTGGTATTTTACTTAATTACTAATAATTCATGTGACACCTGTCCTCTTAAGGTATTTTTGAAAACCCTCATCTTTCTCACGGTTCTGAGAAGTTCTCATCACCAGCACTGAGGGCAGAATTAAGTAGAGGAGCACTAGTTAGTGCAGATAGCAGTCGTTGGCTTTATTGTTGGAGTTCACATTTAAGAACTTCCAGCTGTCATATGAGGTAGCTTACTATCTATACTGTTGCTATATAATGTTAAAAACCATCCCATTTTGTCCCCAACTTGGATGCTGTTTCACTGTGGACTAGAATGGTATCTTTTAGTTCAGTGTCACTGTCTCTCCGTGTTTACACTCAACGGCTCTACTCCCCTGGAGCTCTGTCAGTTCCTGGCGTAATTATTCCTCACCTACAGTTCTCTTCAGGGTTACGTGGGCTTTGGCTTTGACAGTCAGAATGTTTGCATTCAGTACTTTGGAGTGGTTCTAGTTTCAGCACAAAGTTTAATTTTAAATTCTCTGAAGCATAAGAACATATATAAAACTAATCCTAACTGGGAGCATTAGTGATTACCTGGAGCATTCTACAGTGTCTAATTTTACTTGGGTAACAAAGACCCAGTTTCTTGGAATCCAATACTGTCTATTTCTTCAGGATAAAAAGGAAGTATAGACATCTCTGAGAAGATATGTGTAAGTGTGATTTAATCGCCTGTATTGTATCCGTTTAGTTTTTCTCTTGCTCAAGAATGTTGCCTGTTCTAACCAGAGATTGCTTTGAGAGTGTGCTGTAGGATGTGTGCAGATGCTTGTGTGTGAGCGCTAGGAAGTGGCCATGGCGCTTACAGCATCCTCATTCACAGTGAATGCCAGTTACAGCTTCAGATTAAGAATTATTAGAGTAGCTGAGAACTGGGCATAAAAATATGCTTATGAAGAAAATGCCATGAAACCATGAAATTCGTAATTCTTATGAAATATATACTTCTCCTGAAGCTGCAATACAATTTAGAATCTGAATTAGAAGATTTGTGTGGTTTTTCCTTTTAGCAAATTCCTGTGATGTTAAGAATATGTAAAGGATTTCCATAAAGATAAAATGTATATAAATGTGTGTTTATGTATAAAACACACACATCAGTTACCTGAAATATAAGGTTACCAGAAAAAAAAAATTTTTTTGCAGTAGTGGTAAGTTGGTTCATCCAAGTTCTCAGTTTACTTTCACAACATAGGTGTGCAGACAGTTTGTTTAGATGTTTAATTTTTTCCCATCTGTTCTGCCAGGATTACTGATTGAGCAGGAAGCCACGCCAGGGCACACGTAGCCTCCTTGCAGTTGCATGCCTTGGGTGCACTGTGTGGCTGCCGCACCAGCTGAGAGAGGTGTCCCTCCGGCCCCCCAGTAAACCCCCATTGGTAGAAGAATATTGGAATGAACAAGTTTTTTGAAAGTGCCATTAGCCAAATAAATGTTTATGTTAGGAAATTTAATTGATGGTATCATTTTAAAATACATAGTTTATTATTAGTATCATTCATTGAAATTAGTGACCATTCAAGAGCTGTTCATGGTGACTTTAACTCACCTGGCTGTTTTATAAATGAAAGCGTCTACATCAAACGGTACCAAATATTAATCAGATATTGCCAGAATATTAATAATAATTGGTACTTATTGTGACGTCCTTGAATCTTAGGTTTTATTATGTCAGCAAGTGAAGCCATCTCTGGCCGCCAGTGGAAAAACGGAAACTAAGCCTGGTTTCCTAGAGTTTGTGCTCTGTTTGGATGTTGGATTTGATGTTACTTATCATTATTTTTTCACGTTTATGTTTCTTTTAGTGTTCCAAATCCCCACTTGTCCTTTATCTCTGGACATTTGTTTGTAATGCAGTTATAAAGTAGAGCTGCCTCTGTGGTTACAGAGGACTGTGGGCATGGAAGGAAACAGGAAATGTCTGCATTCATGGTTAAACCTGGGGTTCAGTTTAAACGTCAGCAACACTGACTTTATGGAAGAGAGACACTTTCTTTAGATGAGGTCTTCAAGATAAGTGTTTTACTGGATTATTTCTCTCGGGCAGGTTTTCCCCTACATTTACGTCCAAGTTGTCCGTGTTTCACTGTAATGGAGTTGAAGTGTTCTTTACTGTTGGTGTACCCCTTCATTACCATGATCAGACCCTGTGCATCAGCCCCTCATGATAACCAGGAAGTAAATTATCTTTTTTGGTAGAAAAAAATCATCAGAGGTATCTAGAAGGAATTGCAACTCTTAGGTTAAAGAATGTAAATTTTATACGTTACTGTAATTTTGGAAAAAGAAGTGCTTTGAGTAAGGGAGAAAAATTATCTTCCAAAAATCATATAAAAGAGGCTGTGGATTTTAATTTTACTCTGGAATTTCTAGAGTATTTCAAAGTATTGTGTTTTGAAATAATTTAAATTGAAGGCAAGAGAAAGAAACAGGGTAACATGTTTTATAGTATATATCCACGTAGAATATTACAATCACTTTTATTTTTATTTCCTGTGTATTTCATCTTCCAGCTGTTTGGAGGTAGGAGTTGACCAGAAGCCTTTCTTTTTAATCAATAGCAAAGACTCAGAGAAGAGTGCTGGCTGAGTTGTTAGGTTATTTTCTCCTCCATGTTGCTGAAGTTTACGTGTCAGTAAGACAGTACGTTACATCAGATTTGTTCAGTTCAAGTGAGACAGCAGACAGTTCTAATTGCAGCATTATGTATCTGTACATCAATTAAAGCACGGATGTTCGGAAGCAAAACCACTTATTTTGAGAATCAGTGTTCATTTTACAAAGCTAAATAAAATATATTTTATTTTATCAAACAGATTTTTTTACAATGCAGTTTTATTTTTCAGTTGCTTATTTCTCTTCACAAATAAAACCCTTTTTTTATGTACTCACTTTCCCTTCTGGCTTCAAACCAGGTATTTAAACAAAAATAAAGGATTGCCAGTTTTGCCAGCTGGGGATGAGAACCCGGCTGGTGAAATGTGGGTTCGGAAGGCAGTTAATCCAGCTTTTATGCTTTTTATGGTTTTATGAAAAAAGAGGTTAAAAACCACATTTGGCTCTTTTTCGTATGTGCCACTGTTTTGTTGGTGTTGTAGGAATGCATAAAAGATTACTTAGATTTTAAAATTTGTTGTCATTAAGTAAAATCCTGCGTCTATTAGATAAAGGCCCACAAACAGTACATTCTGCTAATTGCATGTGAGATAGATTCTTGGAAAATCAAAAGTCACTGCTATTTAAAAATTATATAGACAGCATTTCCTTTAAGTACACGAGTAGAGTTTCTTCTACTTCTTTAGGTTATTTCTTGTTTTTTGTATGTTCTCAGGTTACTCATTTCAAACAAGTAGAAATTTGAAATATTTTTGGCTAAATATAGGAACTAGAATTTGATTTTTTTCCTGAAAATATTTTGCTTAGTTTGTGGTTTGCAAAAGATTTTTGGAAAAACATAGGAACTGGGCTTGTGTTTCTGTCTTGCCAGTGCAGCTCCTAGTCTTCAGCCACAAAACAGACAATGATGCAATTGAAGTAAAAATCTTTCCATAACATTTGAAGAACACTACTGAAGAGATCTTTAAGCAACAGTTTTTTCTTGAGATTGTGTTCTCCATCTTTAAATACCTTGTTTACCAAAGTGCCTTTCGTCATAGTATTTATAGGTAATCATCGTGTAACTGTCAAAAATACCATGTGCAATTGTATGAAATTATTGGTAAATTTTGAATCAAAGTCACAGAGAAGTAATCTTCAACAACGCATTTCCTTAAGTCAAACTAAGAAAGTTTGGAACATGAGTACTACTTTGTTGTGTATCAAATTTTCTCTTAGGTAATCAGTTATGAGATTTTTTAATTAATAAATTTCATGTGTATGGTTTCTTGATCTGTTTTTCCCGAAGCTAAGAGGATTAGATAAAGTAAGCTTTAAGATTATTCAAATACAGTAACTTAAAATAAAATATTGAAAGTTCCAAAGAAATGAAGAAAATTCTACTAGGTGAGGACTTAGCAAGTAGAAAGGGAAAGTCTGATTTCTCCCAGGACAAGGGGCAAGTTCCCACATTCCGGTTTGAGCAGGTTGCGCTAACATAGCCTACCTGATACTTTCATATCATTTCTTACTAAATTTATTTGGCATGTCATGTATTTCAGGAAACAAATTTAAGGGCACATCCCACCCAGATATTGAGTCCATAACTTTTGTTGTTTGTGCGTAACAGGAGTTTTTGTTTGAGGTACTAAAGCTTTGGACGCTAAACTTGATCGCGACCCGAACAGTAGATCTTTGTGTTCACTTTGTTGACTACATATTTCCTGAAAGAGTGTAACTGTGTGGGGCTCCAGAAGTTTTCACATTTGTGTTCATGGTTGTCATGCCCTGTCCTCTCCTCTGTTACAGCCTTTGTTTCCTCCTGTCTCTCACTGTCTGGTTTGTATTTCTTCGTTCTTAATGCAGGAGTGTGTAAGGCACATTCTGTGCTCTCTAATCAGCATAGCTCAGCTCTAAGTTGTTACTTAACGTCCACATTAGTGGAACCGGAATGAAAAATTAAGCTGGCCTAAGAGAAAATATGCAAACATGCTAACGATTTTCATTTGATCCTTAGTGCATTCATATTCTCATTTCTTTGCAATTTGTTGTGTGACCTATCCCTTTTTTTGTACACTGACCTTTCCTGGATATGTATTGAACATTCCACATATTTGGTGTGAAGATGTCAGAATAGCCTACCTACGCTTTGAAAGTTAGGATTCAATTTTATGTAAAAATCTTATGTTTTATAAATAATGCTTTAAAAGTTAATGTGTAATAATTAATCACTGGTTTCACTTTTAGGTGTTAGAAGATAATGACTATGGCCGAGCCGTGGACTGGTGGGGCCTAGGGGTTGTCATGTATGAAATGATGTGTGGGAGGTTGCCTTTCTACAACCAGGATCATGAGAAACTTTTTGAACTAATACTAATGGAAGACATTAAATTTCCTCGAACACTCTCTTCAGATGCAAAATCATTGCTTTCAGGGCTCTTGATAAAGGATCCAAATAAACGGTAAGCAAAAATAACACTCAGTGTGTTACTGTTGAATGTGGTTAGAAATTGTGATATGGAAATTCATTCAAATATAACTAACTCCAAGAAGCAATGTATTTGGTATAGACATCTTCCCACTGAGATGCTGACTTATTTTTAACTGCATAATATAGAACATTTTTTTAAATTTCCTCAACTCTTTCCTAACTTGGAAATTTTATGCAGATTTTACCAAATAAGGATTGGAGAGTTTTATTATCCATTTTATGAGTGAGAAGTTTCTTAATTGCCCTGGTACTTGCTATTGTGGGGATCCGAGGATCCTTTTTCCTCCTTTCAGTCTGTGGGCCTTTATATTTCTGCTGATTTACATTATAGAAAGAACAAAACTGTCTCTACACTCTCCTCCCACCCCAACAACCTATGTTAACATATCTAAGTGCTTTTTTGATTTGTCATTTGAAGATATTCTTTCCGATGAGTGGCTGAAAGGATTACTGGCAAAAAAAATCTTTACACACTTGTGTTTCTATTTTTGTAGCTACAGCCATGACCTGAAGAATCCTAGAGCCCTTTGTTTAAAGAGCTGCAGTATTCTTTGTTGATGTTTGTGTAATCATTTACACATACATTTTATGTCATCTATGAAAGGACTATTAGTTTTAAAATATCCATTAATATGTGTTTGTGCCTATATGTATTTGTGTGTTTATAGCCATCCTTACACCTATATCTATATCTATAGATATATATGTATCAGTATTTCTCTGCAAACCTCTTAGATCTTAAGTATCTTGAGGATAGACCATTTCATATACTGTTGAATCTTCCATAACGCCTCGCATAATGTTTTTTTACTATGTTATATTTATGGTAGATGCTCAGTATGTATTTATTGGCAAACTGAATTAATGAGTGAAGGAATAAATGAACCCTAAAATGTGGGCATTGTCTACCTTAGAGATGGTTTTCCTTACTTGTAGGAGGAACGTGATTTTCATTTAACAGAAATAAGTAAACATACCTTTTTTTTTTTTGCGTTGTGGAGGACCATTCAAAAATGTGTTTCATGATCACATAACTGAGATCTTACGTCATGTTCGTAAAGTAACTTTGTTTTCTTTTTTGGGGCATTTGCACGTCTGTTCTCTCCCTTGCTTTTTCAGTAGCCTTGTAGAGTTGATAGGGGAGATGTTATTCTCAGTTCCATTTGATTGAAGAGAAAATAGAGGCCCCGAGAGGGGAAGTGATTTATTGTAGGTCTCACAGGAACTTTGTGTCAAGCAAGAGTAGAAATCAAGTTCCTTGGTGCCTATTTGATATTTATGTTTCTTATTTACAATGCATCAATTTCTCAGTTGTTTCACGTTTTGAAATGTGTTCCATTTAACGTGATTATTTCACAATTAATGTAACAAGGGTACTTGGTGATCTTTAAACAGAACTAGGATTTCCATTTTATCTGCTTGATTTGGGGATCTCTTATTTGGCGTGGGTTTCAAGGGCAGTGAATTTTTATCCCATCCTTTCCTGCCTCCTCCAGGTAATTTTGACAAACCATTCCTTTGTCGTCCCCTCTGTAAGTGGCTGGTAGAACAAAATTGTGCTTATGGTTTTCATGTCTTTGTCTCATTCATTTTTTTATTGTCATCCACCTCCTATGCCCTTGGATAGCACATAGTAGGTACCTAATAATTATTGAATAAATGTGAGGTAAGTTTCTAGAATGTTAGTGGCCTGGTATGTAGGACAGCTCTTAAAGGTTTGCCCACCCAGGAGCTGGTGTCATCGAAAGAGAAGATGTGTTATTTTCAATTGTCTGCTATTTCCTTTTATAGTAGATGTGTCAAGCTCCTCCACTGCTGCATTAAAATATTAGGAATGCAAGGATGAACAAGACGAACAATGTCTTGTCTAGGTGTTCAAATAATAATGTGGGGCACAGAACATATATTCACAGATGCTTGGGTTAAACTGCACACAAATTGCTATTGAAATTATTAGCTCTATTTAGGGGATTGGAAGACTTGAGCAGGCTCATGAAGGAGCTGGAATTGACAGTGGCGTTCATGCAGAGAAATTTACGTGTAAAGATCAGCTAGAATTGCAAATGAACGTGGCATTTGAGAAGTTCAGTGACTAGAGCGTGGAATATGAGTTGGGTAACATTGGGAGATGAAGCTGATATGTTAGATTGTAAGGACCTTATGTTTCTTCTTCTTAGAAAATATTTAATCTTTATTCAAAAGAGAATGAGAAGCCACTGTGTTATTAAAAGTAAGAGATGGTGTAATCAGATTTGTGTTATGAAAAGGTAACTCTGGCACCTTTGTCATGGATGAATTAGAGCAGTGAAGGGGCAGGTGGGCAGAGCAGTTAGGAGTGCATATGGGATCGTCCAGATACAAGGTGGAGCTCTTTCTGAAGCAGTGGTAGAGAGTGATAAATAGAACTTTATGAATGGTAAAATACAGATGATGAGGCAGTGAAAGGAATTAGGGAAGCCTCTGAGGTTTCCAGCTTGGGGGACTAGTTTGGAGTCTAAGAATGGAGTCTTATTAACAGATAGGGAGTAAGGCAAAGGAGGAGGCTTGATGGGGTGCATGTTGATATTGGCTACACCGAGTCTCAGGTTTCTATGGAAGGCCTAGGTGGAAATGTCAAGTATGCAGCTGAAAATAGTACCAGCGCTTGATGAAAACAGAGGAACTGGATATGTGGATTTGCGATGCTAGGAGGTAGCTGGTGCCATGAGAGTAGTGGAGAGAGTAGAGCATAAAGAGAAGAGCGCCCAGGACAGAATCTTGGAAACATCAACATTTAAGAGGTAGAAAGAAGAGAAAGAACCAACAAAGGATGCTGAAAAGTCTTTGGAAACATAATCAAAGATAGCCTTGTAGTAAACCTGTTTTTATTATTCCTGTCCAACTATTTTAAATACTGCCTGAATTTTTCTGATACTCTTTACTGAATTACCGTCAGTTCTAAGAAAGTTTGAACTATCATTTTGCTTTTATTTCCTATTCTCCATTACCTTATGATCATTCTATTAGTATCTCCTTTATCCTATGCAGACTTTATAGGAAAAGCGTGACCTCACGTTGCATTCAGTAACACTAGAGAATATGAATTCCATGATGGTCCTGATAGTGACGAATCCATGGTAGCTGAGGATTTGGTTCGGCATTCTGATGTTGGAGTTTAGTATTCTTAGGCATAAATATCTTAGTGCATATCATATTTTGATACTACTTTGAAGTCTTAAGTTGTATATTAGGGAGTTATTGACATTGAAATTTTTGCAGTTTCACACTTTGAAGAAGCTTGTGTTAAAGAATCTCTACCAGCTTCTAAAATGGCAGTCTAAGATTACATTCCTAGACTTTGCATAGTGTTTGTGGCCGATGAATATAGATCAGATGCTGGCTATGTCCACAGCCAGACTGTTACTAGAGAACTGAGGAGCGAACAAGAGTGAGTAACTGAAACTGGATTCCACCTTTTATTTACAAAATGATATGGTTCTCCACTCCAACTCCTACCTCACCCGCCATCTTATATATAATTCAAAATGAAAACAATATTGAAATAAACAGTAACATAAGTATAAAAAAATACAATGAACTTCTGATTTCTCTCATGCAGACTACTTTGCATACTTTGAAATGTTAAATTCTTTTCAGAAACATGTGTTTTGGTGTTTCTGCTTCTCTGGCTCCCTCAACACAAGCTTAAAATGCTCTTTGGATAATGTAATACCGATCTCTGCCCTCAAAAGAATTTGCAGTCGAGGGGGTAGGGGAGACACACGCGACCTGAAATAGAGTGAAGAAGAGCTATGCCAGGGCCTCAAGTGCTGAGTGTTAACTAAATATAGAATCGCCGGTCTGAAAGTCCCCAACGTGAACCAAGCTTTTCTGATCTGATCCTATCTAAAGGTTCCATATCAGGGGCCTGGTGCATTCTAGTATACAGATCTGTAGATAGGAGACCTGGATTGTGGGAGCCACTGGTCATCCCTAAAGACATTCAGATGTTAGCTGATTGTTTTATTTTCCATCCTGACAGTGTGTCAGAGGATCCTGGGTTCTTTCCAGTCGTGTATTTCTTATACCTAATAATAACCAGAATTCATTAGAATTGTATAATTGTTTGTTTTCTATGACTTATTTGGTTTTTTTCCTACCCAGTGGTGTGTTGGAGTTGGCACATAGCAGCTCCTAAGAGCCAATTGTTGAATTTCAAGAATTTTGTGAGCTGGTTGTTTAATACAGTCATTATTAAAAGTTAGGTATATAAACTTATAAATTAAATCAAGAATATTAAAATCAAAGGTAGTAAATACTCAAAACTAATCACTCCTTAATAATTGTTACATTTTCCTATTGTCTGTGCTTTTGAGATTACTTACGTCTGTTGTACCTGTATAAAAATACTATAAAATGGTTTGCTTCTGCACATCTCTTCCCCTTCCTGTGTTGAGTGACATCAGGTTGAGGACTTGAAATTGGCCCTCATGAGAGTCATTTGCATCACCAGAATTGGCAAACACTTAAGTCAGGGCTTGATTTATTGTTTTGTTGATTGTTGAGACTTAAGAAAGTGATAGAGAAAATGTTAATAACAGAGGTTAAATTTTAAAGTTTGTTGTATCTGTAACCATTAAATTGTGAATAGCGCAAAGTGTGAGGAAAGATTCTTCCACCATTCCAAAACTATTAGCCATTCGGCAAAGGGATCACTCCCATGACTGACAAACCAGTAAAGTTCTGACGTATTTCTCTGTTATTGTCGTTTCACCGTAGTCTTTACCATAAACAAAGATGTCAGCCATGCTCACATCGGAACTGCTCCTAAGGCAGCGCGTGGCTTTGGACTACAGCAAAAATAAGAGACGCTTTCTGTGAGGATTAATCGGTTAATTTACAATGAAGAACATTGTATATTTTATTAGTCTTTGTAAACGTTGTACTTAACATCCTTTATATCAGTAAAATTCGCAGTAAACTTATGTGTATAATATGCATATTACGCATGCCGAATTTCCCCTACAGAGCTGACTGTTAAAGGTTACCAGCACACGCCACTCCTAACCATGAGCAAGACCAAATAATGCTTGCTGTGTCAAATTCAGACTTAAATGGACTTCCTTTCTTTTCTTTTCCTCATTCTTTTTCTGTTCTTTTTTTCTCTCCTTTCCCTCTTTTCCCTGTCTCCTTTCTTCTCCGTTTTTTCTGTTTCTCTCATTCTTTCTTCGTAGTGACTAGTATGCGCTATGTGAAACTGAGGAATCCGTAAAACTCCTGAATTTCATATTGTGTCAGGTATCAGTTAAATAAGAGTACCTTCAAAGATGGGGGGGAGTATTTTTACGTTTTTGATTTATATTGAAAATTGCATAGCAAATTACATTGTAATAATATTTCATAGATTAACAATATCATTTCTGTGGTACATCATTTGAGATGTGAAAATAGTCTGAGTTTCTGTTTATTAGCAATGCTTTACAAATTGTTTTTTCTAACCAATTATTTAATCTTTTCAGAATTTATGTTAACAAGGGTGCATCTTGACTTGAGTCATTCTAAAATAAATTTGGTTTATAGCATTGACCATGATAGTAGCTGTCATTTACTGTGCTAGGTGCTCACCTATCTTATTTCCAACCCTTGCAATCACCCACCAGGCTGGTATTATTATCCCCACTCGACAGATGAGAAAACTGACATTAAGCAACTTTTTCGTCGTCACACATCTCGTAAGTTCGAGAGCTGGTTGCCTGTTTCAGGTTTGTCTCCAAAGACCGTGCTCTTTTCAGATAGCATCCTGTCCTGAGGCCAGTTCTTGTTAAAGCACGATAGGGAAATTAGATCTTACAGAAAAAGCTTTTTATTTTTACGGCTGTTTATCACAAGGACTATTTTATCTCACAGAAAATTACATTTCACAAAAACTTTCTGTTATGCATTGGGCATATGTAAATGTTTTATACTCATTTAATCTTATTTCTGTCCTCATAGCCTTGGTGGAGGACCAGATGATGCAAAAGAAATTATGAGACACAGTTTCTTTTCTGGAGTAAACTGGCAAGATGTATATGATAAAAAGGTAGGTTATCTTCATGGCGTAGTGTTTATATATTTTGGGTAAAATGAATTTACAGTGAAAAAGTTTTAAAATGAATAAAATTTATGATGTAATGATAGTTTTCATTTTTACTCTATCATTTAATTGAGTATTGAACTTCTTAGCACAAAATTTTATTGATATTTTTGACTCGCAAAATACAGCTTGAAATTTTATTCAATATGGTCAGTTGATTTTTGTCTTAATCACAATAATTCATTAGTTTGCTTCTCACTGTTTCCTTAATTCAGAAAAAATAAAGACACCAACATTATGATATTCTTTAAGAAAACTAACTAGCACAAATCATAATTTTTTTTACCTTTATGTCTTTAACTTTAAAGTGGATATTCAGATTTGTTCATAAAAATACTTATTTTAAAAGGAATTTTAATGCACTTTAGTTTTAATATTTAACAAAGTAATAAATTTGTCTTATTTGGGACTTCTCTGTTATTTGAAACAGAACTTTAATACCCACAAAATGGATGCTACTAGTTATATAACTCTTTTTATTGTAATCTGCTTATTCCTTGTTTTTAATACTCCAATTTTTGCTTAAGTTCAGGAACACAAAATTATTGTGTCTGTTCCATCTTTTTCATTTTTGTTTATTTCGTTATATTTTTGCTACTTCAGGTATTCTTAGTTACAGACACTGATTTTGATTTTTTGATTTTCATAGTAAAATATGAGCATCTGAAATTTTTATGTAATTCAGTATTTGCTTAGAATTTTTATCTGTTTCGTGTAGTTAGTCCTTCCATTTCAGTTTATTCCAGCCTTCCATATTTTTCTCTAAAATAGATATTAATAGACATTTATGTAGTGTCTGTTTTGTGCCAAATATTGTTCTCTATTAATCCCTAAAGTAATGATAGAATGATATCATATGAGTTATAAGGAAATAAGACAAGTACTTAATTTCTGTATTATATTACGGTAATGGGGAGTGTGGTGATTTTCTAAGCATTTCTTGTAACTAGATATTTAAAATGGTTGCACCATATTGAACACCTCTACTCAAACTTCAGTTCAATTAAATGCACATCTCTTGAGTTTCTACCTTGTATAAAGCACTGGGGTAAGTATTAGATCCTTCTCAACCCTTACGAGAAGCACGTGGCCGTTCTTAACTGTCCTCAATGTGTAGTAACTTCATATAGGCATCCACTTTATAACACTGATGATATTTTTTATGAGTTGCATCCATATATAACCCCAATGAACTATGCACTCTTCTTATCATGTCAGTACACTGCAAAAGAACCTGGAAAAGATCAGGGTCTTGTCATGTCTCCCAGAAATAAGACATGATCAGAGGTTTTCTTTGGTGCACAAAGCTATAAGCCACAACTAAATAGCCCTTTGATACACCCTGTCCAAGGAGGACCCAATCAAAAAAGAAAGAAAGAAAGAAAAGAAGGAAAAATTTCTTTAGGAGAGAATTGTGGAACACCAGCATGGCACTGCCAACTTAAGGAAGAGGCAAAACGTGCACTTTCTTCAGTCCTATTAGGAGACTGAGATATGCTACACAGACTTCCTCAGCAGTGCTCAGCTTTTCACGTTAAATGGTAGTTTGGCTACTTGGAGAAAGTTTGAGAACCCAGCTAGTATATCAGTGAAGAAGCCAGGCTTATTCTGTCTCTGCTCCACTGGACCAGACACGCCCAGAGTAGAGGTACCCAAGAAGCTCCCTTGTGGCAAATGGGATTGGAGGAGCCAGCAAGTAGGGCAGGGAGAAGGAGCTGCCACAGTATGGCTTTAGATGATGGGTGTGGTGAAATGAGTTTCGCTTGTTATGCTTGATAAAAATAGTTGCCTCTTAATTTGAGCAAAGGTGTTAAGTATCTTGTATAAAGAAGCACCACTACAAAAATTACCAAGTTTCCATTCATCATGGACTGACACCTGCTCCGGGTTTACTTGGGGTCTCCTGGATGTCAGATGAGGCACGGGTGTTCTCAGCCGGCCTTACACACTGGAAGAACAACAGCATCATAGCAGCACCCTTAAATTTTGAGGCTCTTTCTAAAAGGCCTTGAAAATGTGATTGGCTCTATTTATTTGGGTTTGTATTGTATCGCTAATAAAAAAGGAATTAATTATGTTAATACTGATGCCAGTAGCTTTTTAAATGAATTCCGTTATAATTCTAGTGCTTTAGACAGTATAAATATGAAATAATTCACAATATCAAACATTTTTATGGAGCCCCTATGTCTTTAAAACGTGGAATTTACTCGTAAGAGGCTAATTCATCTCAAAGATCAGGTATTTTTTACTACAGTTTTATTAATATGCTTTGGGAGATTTACTGTTTTTGTAGATTTATTATTACATGCTTTTTGGCCGTTTTTCTATATATTGTGGCAAATCTAGAGATGAAGGCACAAGTAGAGATGACTGGATCTTTAGAGGAAAGCTAGATCTCTGCCAAGGCAGAGTGAGAGCTGAAGTAATTCAATTGTGAGTGTCCTGCTGTGCCGCTCTGAAGAGCACGGTACCGAAGTGTGGCAGTCCTCTCCCGGGCCTGCCTCCTCATCCCACGCGGGCATGGGCGGTTCATTTTACTCACGCGTAAAGTTAGGATCTCTAAAGTGTCCTTCAACTTTAAGATTCTCTGGCAGGATGTTTTATAATATGAATTTATCTAGATAAATTTCTATTTAGGTTTTACACTCAGTTTGTCAACTTCTACAAGAAGATCTGCTGGGATTTTGTGGGAGATTGTGTTGAATTTGTAGATAAATTTGAGAGAATTGGCGTTTGAACAGTGTTGAGCCTTTGGATCCATGAACACAGTGTCTCTCTCAGTTTATTTAGGTCTTTACTTTCTCTCAGTAATGTTTTATAATCTTCAGTGTTTAAGTCTTACCTATATTTTGTTAAATTTATCCTTAAGTATTTTATGTCTTCTGACATCAATGGTATTTTAAAATTTCATTTTCACATTGTTTGCTGCCAGTATATAGAAATACGATTGATTTTTGTATATTGACCTTGTATCCTGCAAATTTGCAAAACTTACTAATTTTAGTAGCCTTTTTTGTAGATTACTCAGGATTCTCTGCACAGATGATCATATCTTGTGTAAATAAAAAGTTTTACTCCATGTTTAATCTGTATGTATTTTATTTCTTCCTTTTCCTTATTCTGTTGGCTAGGACCTCACTACAATGTTGGAGAGAAGTGATGAGTGGACATCCTGGCTTTGTTCCTGATGTTAGGGAGAAAACGTCATTTAGTATTAAATATGATGTTAATGATCACAGATAGCACTGAGACTTAGTTTCTAACTGTCTCTCTCCAATGAAAAGAACCAAAGTTACTTGGAGAAGTGGTTGATTTCAGAGGTGGGTGGGAAAAATAAATGATGAGCCCAAGGAATTTTGTGGTGTCAGAAAGTAAAAAACAAAGATAGACAGACACAAAAAGACATGAAAATGACACAGGAGCCAACCTTCAATAATTCCCATTGGGGAAAGCTGGAGCAATTTCAGTAACAAAATAAACACAGTATTGTATTATGACCCAAAGGATAAAATACATACCCATAAGTTCATACTGCAAAAATTAATGATTGAACAAATAAATAAAATGTTGAGAAGGGAAATGTCTTCCTTATAGATGAATTCCAATTAATAAATGCAGAAGAAATCAGGGAACTAGAAAATCACTGTGAAAACACCAGAGTAAAAATTGCTGCATGCGAGATCCACCAACGAATGTTAAAATTAGTAGTGGTAGTAGGCAAAAGTTTAGGAAAGAAGAGGGGCTGGCCTGGTGGTGTAGTGGCCACTTCAGCAGCCCAGGGTTCCTGGGCCTAGATCCTGGGCATGGACCTACACACTGCTCATCAAGCCATGCCGTGGTGGCATCCCACATACAAAGTAGAGGAACGTTGTCACAGATGTTAGCTCAGGGCCAATCTTCCTCACTAAAAAAAAAAAATTAAGTTTAAGAAAGATATTTGTGTAGTCTCAACATATCTCTCCTCACACATTTATTATTTACAAATATTAAAAGAATAACTTTACAGTAGAGAAACCTGGCAGACAGTGTCTTGAACCAAGTGATCAAGATTAACATCATCAGTAATAAGACATACTGACATCATGTAACTCATGATAAGATGCCCTGCGAAAGGTGTATCACTTTTGTAGTATTCTTCCTCAAAATGCAGAACCTCAGTAGAATCATGAGAAAACCTGGGGGACCCACATGGAGGGTCATTCCTCACAGTAACTGGATAGCTTCCCCAGTGTCAGCTTCATGAAAGGCAGGAATGATTGTGGAACTGTCAGGTTGGAGGAGCCTGAGGTGGCAGGAAATCTACATATAATTGGTAGTTTATGGTTTTGTACCAATGTTAATTTCTTAGTTTTGATAATTGTACTATGGCTGTGTGAGATATTAGCATTAGGGGAAGGTGTGTAAAGGGCATGTGGGAACTCTTTGTACTATTTTTGTAAGTCTTCTCTAAGCCTAAAATTATTTCAATATAACAAATTACAGAAATGTGATGTTAATATAGGTCCTCAATCCCTCCTTTATTAGGCTGAGGAAGTTCCCTTCTAGTCCTAATATGCTAATAGTTTTTATCATGAATAGGTATTGAATTTTTTTTTAAGTCTTTCTGCATTTATTGTGATGATCATATGGTTTTTCTCCTTTATACTCTATTAAAATCGTGAATTACATTGATTGGTTTTCTAATGTAAGTGAACTTTACATTCCTGGGGAAAACCTCACCTATTCATTATGTGTTATCCTTATTATATATTGCTAGATTTAATACAATATGTTTTTTAAGGAGTTTTTTGCAGCCTTAAATCATAAGTGATACTGGGGTGTCCTCTTCTTTTCCCAAAATGTCTTGGAATGATTTTCATTTGAGGATCATGTTTACCTTTTAAAAACCAGGTGGGAAGTACTGCCTCTTCTTCAATTGTCTGGAATCGTTTGTGTAGAATTTG